AAAAAAAAAAAAAAAAAGGAAAGAAAAGTCAGCCAGTAAAAACCCTATAGCTCAGTGGACAGTCTCATAAATTATACTGTAACATGTAATAATGTGCTTACTTAGAAACAAGTCCTATTCTCTACAAACAGTGTTTCTCATTCTGTGGACTGAAAACAACTGCATCAGAATTACTTGGTATGCTTATTTTAAAATATAGGTAGCTATTCAGGCCCAACACCAAATTACTGAGTCAGAATTTCTATGGAATGCAACCCAGGAATTTTCCATTTGAGTAAGCATACAGGGTTTCCATATAAATACCAAATTTTGAGAACCACTGATAAGATCAATTCTGATTCTGACTCCAAATTTTTTTTAACTTCTTATTGTGATTTGAGTTAAAGTTTACAGAGCAAATCCATTTTCCATTCAACATTCATATACATATTGTTTCATGTCATTGATTGCAATCCCCACAGTGTAACATCATTCATCCCACTTTGTTTTTCCTGTTTCCATTCCTCCTTTCCTAACCCTTTCTGCCTTCTGAACTTTGTCCTTGAGCTAATGCTGCCCTTTTGCTCTCGAATGGTTGATTGTTCTAAGGAGTGAGTACCTCCCTAGTGTTATTGTTCACCTTACAGACCTGTCTACTCTTTGGCTGAATTGACCCTGAGGGTGAGTTCAGTTCCAGTCTTGAAAGGTGACCAAGGGCCATAATCCAGGGATTCCACCAGTCTCTATTCTAGCAGTAAGGCTGGTCTTTTTTATAATTTTGAGTTTTGTTCCACATTTTTCTCCCACTCTGTCCAGGACCTTCCAGCGTGATCCCTATCAGAATGGTCAGTAGTGGTAGTCAGGCACCACATAGTTCTTCTGCTCTCAGGGTTGTAAAGGCTGAGGTTGTGTGGTCTATTAGTCTTTTGCATTAACTGTTTCCATGCATCTTTGATTTTCTTCATGCTGCGTTGCTTTGGATTGGGAGAGACCAATAGCTGCACCTTAGATGACCACTGATGAGTTTTAAGACCTCAGTTGCTACTCACCAAAGTAGGATATAGAACATTTTCTTTGTGGATTATGTTGTGCCAATGGACCTTGATGTCCCTCAGGACTATAGGCTTGAGCCCCCAGGCCCAGCAATTCATCCCCTCAAGGTATTTGGTTATAGATAAGAAATTTTCAGAACTTTGCCCTCTGTATGCTCCACTATATATTAAAAAAAAAAAAAAATACCAAACTCACTGCCATTGAATTGGATCCGACTCATAGCGACCCCTCCTGGGGTTTCTGAGGCAATATCACTACAGAAGTAGATTGCCCCATCTTCCTTCTGAGGAGTGGCTGGTAGGTTTGAACCACTAGCCTTCTGGTTAGCAGTTAAGTGCCTTAGGCACTACACCACCAGAGCTCCTATGCTTATTATATTCATGGATATATTTGCAGTATACGTAAGTACATATGTAGGAATATCCTCTGTCAAACATATATATATTCATGGGTGTAGTTCCATTCTCCTTCCCACCTTTGTTCATCTTGAGTGAACAGTGGTAGATTATTGTTATTACTGTTATTGCAGGATTGGGTATGTAATAGTATTTACCTCTGTTGCCTTTAACTCTTGTGTTCCTCCCAGTGTTTTCCTTTGCCTTGATCATTTTGTGCTGACCTACCACTTATTGTATATCACTTTCCCCTTCACCCCAGTTATTATGTGTCCACCCTCTAGTTAGCGGTTTACTCTGACTCCAAGATCTTGACTACAGTTCTTCACTTTGCTCCGTACTCACTGGTTTCTTTATGGCTCCTTGAAAAACTAACTTCAAGGTCTTTGCATTTGTTGTTTTGGGAAATCTTAATAAAAATATGTGACACTACACCATTAGAATATTAAAGATGTATTGTAAATGATGATAAGATACTACCACACACCACCACAATGGTTTAAATTAAAAATACTAACAATATGAGGATATGAAACACCAGGGAACTGAGTTATAACTTTGGTAATAGTGAAAGTAAATTGGTACAACCACTTTGGAAGAATGTTTGGAAAATTCTGGGTTAAGATTATGCAAGTAGTTATTTATTCTCTCAGCAAACATTTATTGAGGTATACTCAAGCATGTGGCTGGGCGCTGGGGGTAAAGACTAAATGTGCAAGGATACATCTAGTGAGAGATGATCAATGGTATGTAATATAGTGATCACTGTGGTAATGGTTAAGTCTGCCATGGGATTGTGGAGGCAACTGATAGACTCTGAGTCTGGGAGATAACAGGGAAGGCTACCCAGAGTAAGT